TCTCCTCTCTCTCTCTCTCTCTTCCCCTGAAGATAAATGTAAAAATATCCTCAGGTGATGAATGCGTTACCGAGAAGATCAAGGAAGAAATTAAAAACTTCCTGGAAACCAATGAAAATGAACACACAACAACACAAAATCTATGGGATGCAGCAAAAGCAATTCTGAGAGGGAAGTTTATAGCACTACAGGCCTACCTCAAAAAACAAGAAAAATCTCTAATAGACTATCCAACCTCACAACTTAAAGAACTAGAGAGCAAACAAAAAGAAAACCCCAGAGCAAGTAGAAGGAAGGAAATAGTAAAGATCAGAGCAGAAATAAATGACATAGAGATTAAAAAAAAAAAAAATTCAAAGGATCAATGAAACAAAGAGCTGGTTTTTCGAAAAGATAAACAAGATTGATGGACCCTTAGCTAGACTCACCAAGAAACAAAGAGAGAAAACCCAATTACACAAAATAAGAAATGAAAGAGGAGAAGTAACAACTGACACCACAGAAATACAAGATAACTACTATGAACAATTATATAGCAACAAATTCGACAATCTAAGCGAAATGGACAAATTTCTAGAAACACATAGTCTCCCAAAACTGGACCAGGAAGAGATAGAAAACTTGAACAGACAAATAACAACAGAAGAAATTTAAGATGTAATCAAGACTCTCCCAGCAAACAAAAGCCCAGGCCCATATGGCTTCACGAGGGAGTTTCACCGAACATTCAAAGAAGAACTAATGCCCATTCTCCTCAAACTATTTCAAAAAATTCAAGAAGAAGGAATACTTCCAAACTCGTTTTATGAAGCCAGTGTAATTCTAATTCCAAAACCAGAAAAACACACTACAAACAAAGAAAACTACAGGCCAATATCCCTGATGAACACAGATGCCAAAATCCTGAACAAAATACTAGCAAATCGAATCCAGCAATACACCAAAAAAATTATTCACCATGACCAAGTGGGATTCATCCCAGGGATGCAAGGCTGGTACAATATTTGCAAATCAATAAATGTGATACACCACATAAATAAAATGAAGAATAAAAACCACATGATCATATCAATAGATGCCGAAAGAGCCTTCGACAAAATCCAGCATCCATTTCTGATAAAAACACTCAGCAATGTGGGAATAGAGGGATCATATCTTGACATAATAAAGTCCATATATGAAAGACCTACAGCCAACATCATACTCAATGGGCAAAAACTAAAAGAATTTCCCTTAAGAACAGGAAAAAGGCAAGGATCTCCACGTTCGCCACTCTTATTTAACATAGTACTGGAAGTCTTAGCCACAGCAATCAGACAGGAAGAAAAAAATAAAAGGGATCCAAATTAGAAAGGGGGAAGTGAAACTGTCATTATTCGCAGATGACATACTATACGAAGAAAACCCCAAAGACTCCATCAAAAATTTACTAGACTTAATAAATGAATTTGGAAAAGTAGCAGGATACAAAATTAACGTCAAGAAATCAATGACATTCTTATACACCAATGATGAACTCACAGAAAGAGAAACTAAGAAAACAACCCCATTTGCCATTGCGGCAAAAAAAATTAAGATACCTAGTAATAAACTTAACCAAAGAAATAAAGGACCTTTTCTCAGAAAACTACAGGTCATTGAAAAAAGAAATAGAGGAAGATATAAAAAAGTGGAAGCAAATACCTTGTTCATGGATTGGGAGAATTAACATAATTAAAATGTCCATACTACACAAAGCAATCTATAGATTCAATGCAATCCCCATCAAAATACCAAGGGCATACTTCACAGAATTAGAACAAATATTTCAAAAGTTTATATGGAACCCAAAAAGACCTCGAATAGCCACAGCAATCTTGAATAAGAAGAACGAAGTTGGAGGGATCACATGACCAGATTTCAGGTTATACTACAAAGCCACTGTAATCAAAACAGCCTGGTACTGGCAAAAGAACAGGCATATAGACCAGTGGAACAGAACACAAAACCCAGAAATGGACCCAATGCAATATGCTCAATTAATATTTGACAAAGGTGGCAAGAGCATACAGTGGAATAGGGACAGCCTCTTTAATAAATGGTGTAGGGAAAATTGGACAGCTACATGCAAAAAATGAAACTAGACCATCAACTTACACCATACACAAGAATAAACTCAAAATGGATAAAAGACTTAAATGTGACTCACGAATCCATAAAAATCCTAGAAGAAACTGTGGGCAACAAAATTTCAGACAACGCACACAGCAGAATTTTCACTGATAATCACCTAAGGCAATAGAAACAAAGGAGAAAATGAACACATGGGACTACATCAAACTCAAAAGCTTCTGCACAGCGAAAGATACAATCATCAAAACAGAAAGGCTACCCACTGTATGGGAGAGCATAATTGCCAATGATATATCTGATAAGGGGTTAATTTCCAATATATAGAGAGTACTCAGACAACTCAACAAAAGGAAGACAAAGAACCCAATTAAAAAATGGGCAGAGGAACTAAATAGACACCTCCCAAACAGGACATACAAGAAACAACAGGAATGGCCAAGAGACATATGAAGAAATGCTCAACATCACTAATCATTAGAGAGATGCAAATTAAAACTACAATGAGGCATCACCTTACACCTGACAGAATGGCCGCCATCAACAAATCATCAAACAACAAGTGTTGGCGAGGGTGTGGAGAAAAGGGGACTGTAGTACACTGCTGGTGGGAATGCAGACTGGTGCAGCCACTATGGAAAACAATATGGTGTTACCTCAAAAAATTAAAAATTGAACTTCCATTTGACCCAGTGATTCCACTTCTAGAAATATACTCTAAGAAGCCTGAAATACCAATCAGAAAGAATATATGTACCCCCATGTTCATAGCAGCACTATTTACAATAGCTAAGATCTGGAAACAGTCCAAGTGTCCATCAGTAGATGGATGGATAAAAAAGCAGTGGTACATATACACAATGGAGTACTATGCAGCTGTAAGAAAGAAAGATCTCTTATCCTTTGAGATGATATGGAGGGACCTGGAAAGTATTATCCTAAGCGACACAAGCCAAACAGAGAAAGACAAGTATCATATGATCTCACTTATTTGTGGAATATAATGAACATAACAGTCTAAGGAATGGGGTAGTCCGAGAGACGTGGAAGTGGGGTACAGACTGACAATTCTAAGGTGAGGGGGTGGTGGGGGAGAGATAAACCACGGAACTTATATGCATGTGTGCATTAACAATGGTCATGGACAACAAAGCTGGGGACAGGACAAGGAGGGAGGGGGAGAGGGGAATCAGTTCGTGAAAAAGGAGAAACATTTGTAACAAAAATAAATTAATTAATTAATTAATAAGAAAAATAATATATAAATAAAATAACACATTAGAAACAAAGACACAGTTGAGAGGAACCAAAAGAGCCAAAAATTGGTTCGTTCATAATATCAGCATAATTGATAATTTGCTGGCAGTTTGATAATGAAAAAGGAAGTTACAAACAACCATATTAGCAATGAAAAGGAACCATAATAGCAGATGCTGCAAAAGAATATTGAAAAAAGGAAATGACAATAAATTTGATGATATGTAAAAAAAATTCTAGAAAAGGTACAGCTAAATCTGACTGAAGAAGAAATAGAAAACTTGAAGCCTAATAACTATTAAACAATGTTACTATGTGTTTTAAAATTTTTTTTAATTGATTTGAGACAGAGAGGAAGGGAGAGGGAGAGAGATAGAAACATTGATGAGAGAGAACATCAACTGGCCGCCTCCTGCATGCCCCCCGCTGGGGATCGGACCCACTACCTGGGCATGTGTCCTGACTGGGGAATTAAATCAGCAACCTCTTGGTGCATAGGTCAACGCTCAACTGCTAAGCCACACTGGTGAGACTAATACGTGTTTTTAAATCTTCCCATGAAACACCACCAGACTTAGATGATGTCAGCAAGTGAAATTCTCTAAAACACTATAGTAAAAGGTAATTCCAATCTTAGATAAAATCTCCCAAATAACACAGAATGAGGAACACTACCCAACTTACTTTTTGGGGACATTACAGCCTTCTTAAAAAAACATGAAAGTGATAGCTCAAGAGATAATTATAGGACAATCTTATCCATGACCACAGATGTGAAATATGTAAACAAAATAGGCAAATTCAATTTATAATGCTCCAGAAAACTCTGGATAGTTTTTTAAAAATGCTAAGTTTTTTTTAAAAACTGTATAGTTTTAAAAATGCAAAGTTAGCTTAACATTTTGAAAAAATGACATCGATGCATAGCCAATTCAATACAATCATTGAGGTTTTATTTGTGGAAGTAGAAAAGCTGATCACAATATTCATATGGAAGGCCAGAAGCCCAAGGGAAGCCAAAACACCTCTACCTTCTAAAGAACGAATTGGATGACTATGTCATGAAATGGCAGGTTACATTAAGGACAAAGCTTTTGTAGCTATGTTAGTGTGGTATAACAACTACTGGACAGCTAAGAACCAGTGTTATTCATAGATGGCAACTTGATTTATGTCAGTATATAGATTATTGGGGAGGGTGGGCTCTTCATAAAGAATACTGTGATAACTGGTTATCCAGATCAGGGGAAGAAATGGAATTGACTTCTATCTCCCACTGTATTAAAACACTGATTCCACCCTAAGACAAAATTTTAAATCACTTATATCAATGATAATATGATGTCATTACATAATGATTTTATGATAAATGAAGAAGGCAAAATTTCCAGAGAAAACAAAACGATACATGGTAGATAGTTGATTTCTCTATGGAAGTTGGTTTCAAGTTAAAGACCATTCTATTAGGGAAACTGGACCTAAGGACAATGCCTCATGCCCGTGAGGTATTTAAGCAGGGAACTCAAGAGAAAATAGAACCATATTAACTCAGACCCACATAGAAAGTAAATATTAGGGGGCAAATGTTAACCATGGTGGTGGCCTAAAGTATGTGAAGGGTAAACTATTTGGTCTCAGATAGTGACACTGTTCTCTATGAGGCTGGGCTTCAGATATTCATAGGGAAGGTCTAGCTGCTCATTCCGGGCCACTATTTCACTTTCCAGGTTTTCCAGATCTCTTTGAAATTGCTTTAAAACAGCCTTGGGCTCAGAACCTGAGAAATATTCTTCTTTGTGATGCCCCAGGGGTACCTGCAGCAGAAAGAAAGGATAATCACCTTCTAGTTCTAAGAAACAGGAACCCAAACTCCAGTGCCTCACCCTAATGTCTCCTTGTCAGTCATCAGTCCCCTTGGAGTTCCAGAGGTCCCTTCTTACCATGTCAGGCTGTGACCAGCTCAGGAGCCATGCGATGGTCATTTGAAGACAGCTTTGGAAGACATTAGGTAGTGAACCCATCACTGTGTCCATCGAGATATCTTCCTTGGTGGTGGGTGGGGGCATCCGCATTGAGCATGGTGCATTAGGGATCCAGGCATACCAGTCGAACTGGGGGAAGAAGAATCTGGAGTCATTCAGAAACTCTGATTCAGGACCCTAGACCCCAACTCTCTCCCTCAAGTAACCTCTAGCTCAGATGCTTTCTTTTAGAGACCCAGGCTTTCAGCTCTCCATACCTGGCCCTTGTTGACAGCTGCATGCTGGGCAGTGCATGTGAAGATGCACATGGTAAGAAAATGACAGAGCTGAGCCCGAGACTGGAAGGAGACAGGGAAACCTAGAGAAAACCACAACGTTTAGAAACTACTGTTCCAAAGAAGACAAGGAAATAAATGCTGATGTCTTCACATGTTCATATATTAGAACTAGTGAGTGTTCATTCATTCATTTATTCAAAAAGTATTGAACTACCATGTATCAAACACTATGTAGGCATTGGGAATCTGTTGGTGGGCAAACAGACTGCAGTAAGGAATAATGATAATAAAAAGAATAACTAAGTAAAATTACACATAGTATGTTAGATAGTGATAAGAGTATAAGTAACACAGGGAAAAGGAGATATGAGAAGTCAAGAAGGGATAGTTGAAAATTTAGTGAAGGGACCAGTCCTGGCTCTGCTGCTGACTAACTGCATTACTTTGGAGGAATTCCTTAGCCTCTCTGAGATTCTATTTATGCTTCTCTGAAAATACAGATGACAATAGTTACTTTATAAAGGAGATGGTCCATGTAAAGTCCCTCAGTAAATTGTAGCTATGATTATAAGGTAGAGAGTAGGGAGGTCTGAGAGGCTGGTTGGTCAAATATCCAGTACTCAAAAAGTGTTTAAAACTCATAGGATAAAGGTAGATGGCCCACAAGTAAACTGGGCAAAGGAGTAATAATAATAGGAGGATATCTATATGACTACTAAACCTAGGAAAACTTACTTAGGTCTACTAGTCAGTGGGAGAATACAACTTAAACTCATAATGTGATAACAACATACTCACCAATTTTACTAAAGTATATTTTGAAATATTTGAGAAGATATACTCTCTGGAGGGAGTCTACATATATATAAGAACTTTGGAAAACTGTCACAAACTACTAAAACTGAACATACACATATCCTACAATCCATCAATTTCACTTCTGGGTACATATCCAACAGAAACGCGCACACAACAATGTTCACAGCAGCAATGACATTAATAGCCTCAAAATAGAAACAACCCAAATGCACATCAATAGGAGAAAGGGGGACAAAAGACTGTGTCATACTCACAAAATAGAATAGTATACAGTGAGAACAATGAACTACATGCTACGTTTATCAACAAAATGAGCAAATTTCAAACATATTTTTAGACCTTAGTGAGTGCATGTTTATATTTTTATTTGTGTAAAGTTCAAACAGGTAAAAAACTTACCTGGGCAGTATGAAGTGGTTACCTTTGGATGGGCAAGGACTGGAATAAAATGCAAGGGGCTTTCTGGGGCATGGCAATGTGTTTTGTTCTGTGTGCTGATTTTACAGTACATCACATCACTAAATATTCAAGTTGTTTGCCTATGATTGATAACATTAACTTTTCTCTAGGTTTGTTTTATTTTAATAAAATTCCTACCCTCTCCAATAGTAGTTAAAAATACTGAGGTTACCCTCTTATTTCCACAAAGTGATTTCAGGTATCTGGGATATAAGGCAGAAAAACAAGAGAAGTCATAGACTCATGTCGGAGCTGGAAGAACATCAAGTCAATGGTCCCCCTGCACTCATTACAGTTGAGATGGTGCTAAGGAGTTTAAGCACCTGCTCACCTATTGTACTTGCTCATCATATCAAGGAGGCAGTATTTTGGAGAAGGAATATGACCACAATCAATTTATATTGATTACTTTATACCTATTTCAACTCTGTCACATTCATTATTTCATTTGGGACAAGTATTAATCCCTTTAAAGAAAGGACATTAAAAGTCAAAGAGATTAAATGGCTTTCTGAAGGCATAGGTCTGGCAAGAGAAAATCCTTTTTTCTTTTCTCATATTTTCTTTACTGTTGAATGTATTACACATGTTCCTCCTTAATTTCCCCCCATCCTCCTTACTGCTCACCACCCGCCCACCTTCACTGCACTGTTGTCTGTGTCCATTGGTTATGCATCTATGCATAAAAGTTCTTTGGTTTATCCCTTCCCACCTCCCATCCCTCTGATGTTGTTAGTCTTCTTCCATGTCTTGGATCTATTTTGTTCGTCAGCTTATTTTGTTCATTATATTCCACAAATAAGTGAGATCATGTGGTACTTGTCTTCCTCTGTCTGACTTATTTCACTTAGTATAATACTCTCCAGGTCCCTCCATGTCATTTCAATGGGTAACAGATCTTCCTTTTTTACAGCTGCATAGTTTTCACTGTGTAAGTGTACCACAGCTTTTTTATCCACTCACTTACTGATGGACATTTGGGCTGCTTCCAGATCTTAACTATGGTAAATAGTGCTGCTATGATCATAGGGGTACATATATTCTTTCTGATTGGTGTTTTAGGCTTCTTAGGATATATTGGGAAGAGAAAATCTTAATACACTGCCTTTAGTGAGGGTGAAGAGAGAATGGTGACAATAAGAGAACCATGAGAGCTGAGAAAGAACAATGCGGGTGCAAGAGGTTGAAGCTCATATTCAAATAAGTACTATAAGTGCTCTAATGTGGATATTTCATGGGGAGAAGCAAGCAAGACCAAATGAGAAGGGTCTTTTGGAGCATGTGGAGCCTGCTAGACAGAACTGAGAAGTGTTACAAAAATTTTGGTCCTGGACGGGCTGACGAGGCGCTGTGGGTGGATGGGGAAGGTACAGCCCCAGAACTTCGAGGTAGGAATCCACTTGTCAGTAAGCGTGTGGTTTACTGATGTGTGCATCCAGTGCACCTGGTTATGTATAATAGCTCTAGCTATAGCCTACACTTATCCCACAGAGGGAGTGGATGGGATTCAACATATTCGAGGGAAGGAGCTAAAGGGTGATTGAAAATACTCGCACTGGCCTATATGTACTAGAGAGAGAAATATGAATCAAGGAAGAGCTCAAGGAAGGCAATTTCATGTTATAGATTAAAAATAGGTGGAGGATCAGGAGGACTTCCAGTCAAGATGGTAGCACAGGTAAACACGTTGCTCCCCACCTCCCACAACCACATCAAAATTACAACTAAACTACTGAACAACCATCATTCAAAGTTGCCTAAAGTCGAGCTGAATGGAAGTCCTAAAACTGTTGAAATTAGACAAGAAGCCACATCGAGACTGGCAGGGGGGTGGAGTCACGAAGGGGATAGTCCCACACTCATGTGTGGTGGGTAAAAATCAGGAGGGATACTTCAACTGTGAAGGTCCTCCCTGAGGAGTGAGGGGTTCCTGTCCCACACCAGGCCCTCAGCTCAAAATCACAGTGCCAGGAAGAGACAGCCCCTTAAATTCTGGCTATGAAAACCAGCAGGAACTGAAGCTGAAGGAGGCTGAGGCTGTAGGATTCGCAGACAGTTCCTCTTTTTTTTAGAGAGAGAGAAAGGAGGGGAGAGAGAGACAGGAACATCCATGTAAGAGAGAAAAATCGATTGACTGCCTCCTGCACACCCCCCACTAAAGATCGAGCCCTGAACTTCGGCATGTGCCCTGACCAGGAATCAAACCAGGACCTCTCAGTCCATGGGATGACACTCAATCCACTGAGCCACACTGGGTGGGTCCCGGCACTTTCTTAAAGGGCCCACACACAGATTTACTCTGACTTGCACCCTCCAGTCTCCAGTGTGGGGGAGGCAGCTAGAGAGGCACCAGAGACATACGGGTAAGAACTGAGTTGCTTGGCACTGGGGCAAGAGTTAGAGAGGCAGCTTTCTTCCAGAAAGACAGACCAGAGGCCACTGTTCCTTTGGTGAGCCCTTCCCCCATGGAGCCCACAGAAGGGCACCTTATGTGGGACTCCAGCAACGTGGTTCACACTGTTTGCCCCTCCCTGGTGACTCCCGGAGGCCTTGCCCCACACAAGATATTTTTCCATAGAATTGGAATATCTTGGCTCCTACTTCAGATTTTTCTAAATCCTTTCAAACAAGCAGCACCTGGCCTCAGAAAGCCCCATATCTCTTGCTAAGTGGGCCCAGGCCTGGCACTAGAAACAGCCAGTCTTAATATACACTTGGCTTTGCTTGGGCACCTCCAAGCTCAGCACAAGAAGCAGCCATCTGCAGATCGCTTTGTAGTTTATGCCTGGTAGACTCCAGGTAGAACACAGGAAGTGGCTGATCATGCCTCAGAGCCAACATACCCAGTGGGCAGCATCAGCTCACATCAAAGCACCACCACCCGACTCATCCACAAGTGACACACTCAAGGTGTAGACTTGGTGGATACCAGAGGTTTGGACAGTAAGTCTTGCACTGGGTGGTGGGCCCCTACACAGTTGATCCTCCAAGGTAGTCAGAGGTCTGTGGTCAGTGACAGCCAGCCCTTGCAGCTGACCACCCTGAGTAAATGCCTCTCATTGATGTGCCAACAACAATCAAGACTCCATTACAACAGAGGTATTTACAGTCCACAGAGGGTTATACCCTGAGAGCCCAGCTGGGGTGATCAGGGAGGCTGGGCCACTGGGCCCTACAGGACACCTACTACTATACTCCACCGTATGAAGGCTGCAGGATTCTCAATGTACTGAGTGAGAACCTCAAGAGCATAAAAAATGACCAGTCGGAAATGATGGAAGCACTAACTGAAAAAATAATAATTTATAGGGAATCAATAGTAGAGTAGGTGAAACCAAGAAGCAAACTATTGATTTGGAATATAAGAAGCAAACTATTGATTTGGAATATCAGAACAGCAAAAATAAAAAATAAAATAAAAACAAAAAAAACATGAGGATAGTGTACAGAGCCTCTGGGACAACTTCAAGCATACCATCATTCACATCATGGGATTGCCCGAAGGAGAAAAGAGAGAGCAAGAAATTGAAAATCCATTTGAAAAAATAATGAAGAAAGCTTCCCTAACTAAGTGAAGGAAAGAGACATACAAGTCCAGGAAGCACAGAGTCCCAAACAAGATGAACCCAAAGAGGCCCACACCGAGACACATTGTAATCAAACTATCAAAGGTTAAAGACAAAGAGAGAACTTTGCAAGCAGTAAGAGAAAAGTAGTTAGTTACCTACAAGGGAGCTCCAATAGGACTGACAGCTGATTTCTCAAAAGAAACTTTGCAGGCCAGAAGGGAGTGGCAAGAAATATTCCCAGTGATAAAAAGTAAGGAACTACAACCAAGATTACTCTATCCTGCAAGGCTATCATTTAGAATTGATGGGCAAAAAAAAAGCCAAAGGAGTTTATCCCACCAAACCAGTATTATATGAAATGTTGAAGGGTCTTCTTGAAGAAGATCAAAAATATGAACAACAAAATGGCAATAAATACATATCTATCAACAATCAAATGTACAAACAAAGTGAACAAGCAGAAACGAAACAGACTTATTGATACAGAGGTCTTTTTGTTGTTTGCCAGATGAGAGGTGGGTTGGGAGGAATGGACAAAAAAGTGAAGGGATTAAGAAGTACAAATTTGTTGTTTGACTGAGGAACCTCAGAGGGAAGGGGGGAGGTAGGGTGGGAAGAGATAAACAAAAAAACTTACATGCATATATGAACAATCAATGAACACAGACAATAGTGTGGGGAAGGCAGGAGGGGGATGGGACCGGGAGACAGGTGGTCAATGGGTGGAAGAAGAGGGGACATCTGTAATACATTCAACAATAAAGTTAAGTTTTTAAAAATGGGGTAGAGGACCTGAAGGTATTTCACTAATCGGGAAGCACTTTTGCCTAAGAAACTTGAATTCCAAGGATCATGGCACTGAGAGTGGGTTTAAGTAAAAATTTATACAGTATTGAGACTACATCTAGAAATGACCTTGCACTGTGGCAGGTGTGCAGGATGTCTGGATCCTCTCCCTGTGCTGGACAGAAGCAGGAAGGAGGAGAAAGGAGGGAAAGCTACTGTGGACTGTCATGGGCTTTGGTGGAAATAATCTCCAAACCTAATAGCCTTAGGTAAGAAAATAAAGAAGCATTAGGAGAGTCTGCATTGGCCTGGGCAGATTCCTCACTGGCTGTGGTTCTGGCCTTATTAGGTCCCACGGCAGAATAGGGCCTTGTGCAAAAAGGCATGGCGGTCTCTGTGGAGGACAATCTAGAATTGTCCTGAGTCTTAGGAGCTGAGAATTAGATCCAGATGCTTCATAGTGGAGGGAGAGGGGGTGATGAGGGGTTTGGGTTATGACTCCAGAAGGGCAAGGCTGAAATGGGGCTCTGGGCAAAGTGTCCAAGGAGCTCCCTTCTCCGGGGAGGAACCTCACCTCGGTTCTGGGCCTGGCACAGCCCCACCTCAGTGATCTCCCGACACCAGGCCTGCAGCTCAGGGTCCCCTCTCACGACGTCATCCTCATGGTAGAAGAGGTGGATGATCCCTTCCACATACCTGCACAGAGGTGAAGGGAGCTGAACTCCTTGAGAGTAGAAGGCTGTAGCCTCTGACCACTATTCCTTTTCTGTGGCCTCTGCCCATCTGATTCTCACTGTATCTGGGGACAAAACTTATAAAACTTGCCTTTGGGGACATCCCCAAGCTCTGTCTACATACTCGTTTATAAAGAAAGAAAATGTGGATCATTAGTTTTAAGAATTCCATTCACATAGTTCATAGTCACACTTCATAACCAGATTCCTGATTCCACCAGATCCCCCCCCACAACTCTGCCTGCGTACACTGTCCATTTCAGTCTCCCCATCTTCAGACCCTCCCACTGTCTTCTCACTGTTGCTCATCTCTCCAAGGATTGAGTTCTCTGCTCCTCCTGTTGGAAACTTCTTGTTTCATCTTCCTATTGCCCCATGCTGACCTCAGGCCAGAGCTCCATTCTCACTGTCCCCACTGCCCCTTCGATTCTCAGCTCCCACTCTCACCCACCGGGCAATGATCTCCCAGAGCCGTAAAGCATCCTGGGCATAGAGGGCACTTGGGATTCCCAGCAGGCCCCGGTCAGCCAGATCGTCAGGAGGACAGAGGGAGCGGTAGGTCAGCTGAGCCAGGGCCCGACGCATCAACTGCACATGGCCCCCTCCACCGATGCTCGTAACCTGGAACAAGAGAGATAAGAGGACTTGAGGAGGAAAACAGAGCATAGTATACAAGAGGTTCAGATGGGGGATTCTCACATTTAAAGACCTGAGTATAAAGGGACAAGCTCCTGAGTTTGAGTCACGACATTCACACAGTTCGGTCTGGGATCTTGAACGTGACATGAGGTCATGCAGAGTTAAATGCTTAAGTGGTTCCACACTCCATTGCCTCCTTACCTTATCGAATAAACCTCCATCTGAGACGAGTTTGGTCAGCGCCCGTGTGTTGATCTCCATGGTGTAGCGGGTGTGTGGGATCAGGAGCTGGATGGAGAAGGTTGGAGGGTGTGGTTTATGGAGGACTTGCTTGAGTGCTTTATTAGGGAGAGGCACTCAGCAGGGTGGCCTTCTTTCCTCTTGACACTTTCTCCCCTACTGGTGCCTTCGCAGGCTGGTGTCCTCCCACTTCTCTGATCACTTAGTCTCATGTTCTCCTATTGCCCTGTGACTAGAGCTTTGAAGTTGGATTGACCAGGATTTTAATGTACTCTTGGCAACGTACTTTGATACTTGACCAAGGTAACTAACCCTCTAAGTGCTCATCTCTTTATCTGTTTACAGTGGATGACAATATGTCCCATCTCAAGCGTGGTGGTGATGCTTTTATGTATAATGTATGAAGTGTTCAGTGCATTGCCTAGTACACAGACGTCCTTAAATAGCAGCTGTTATCATTAGCTTCTTTTTTTTTAATCTTCACCCAAAGATATTTCTTTATCTTCTGATAGAGCAAGAGGGAGAGAGGGAGGAAGAAAAAGAGAGAAATATCAATGTGAGAGAGACACATAATTGGTTGCCACCCACACAACCTTAACCAGGGCCGGGGACAAACTGCAACCGAGGTATGTTGCCCTTAGCAGGAATCAAACCCAGGACTCCCCAATCCATGGGCTGATGCTCTTACTGCTGAGCCAAACTGGCCAGGGCTCATTACCTTTATTACTTCCACTTCTAGGATAGCTGTCCTTTGAGAAACAGTTCTTTAACTTTTGCTTTTTAAAAATAATTTTTCTATCATATACATCCTTACAGTTTAAACTAGCCTTTTTACTAATTTTCAAAGCTACTCCTCCAATCTCTAGTTTTTTTATACTTGCATGTATAAAATATTGGGGTTAGGGGTTGAATTGGGTAGAGTACTTCCAGTCAGAATTAAAAGAATCATCTTGATCTATCTTCTTTATCAGCAGAGGGGCTGCTGTCAAATCTACTCACACCACCAGTTAGGCACTGTTAATCTCTCCTGTTTTCCCTTGGCCTTTAACAAAAGTCATCTGGCCCCGCCTATGTGGCTCTGTGGATTGAATGTCAGCCCATGAACTGAGAGGTCCAGTTTCTATTCCCGGTCAAGGCACAAGCACAGGATGTGGCTTGGTCTCTGGTGGGGGGTGTGGAGGAGTCAGCCGATTGATGTTTCTCTCTCACATCAATGTTTCTATCTGTCTCTCCCTTCCTCTCTCTCTAAAGAAATGAATAAAAACATTAAAAAAAAAAAAAAAAAAGACCTTCTGATCCTCATGTGAATTTCCTTTGGTTGTAGATAATTTTGCCTTCATTCTGAGATGGAGTATTCATGCAATATTGGTATTTATGTGAGTTAGTGATGCTACAGAGAAGGAAGGACCCAAGTGGTATCATTGATACTAACATATCAAAGTAACCTACATTGGTCGGAAATTTTACAAAGATCATGAAAGATGCTGAGTGTCACATAAAACCCAAAGCCCATATTAGGAGAGAAGATACCAGAAGACAAAGAACTAATCATAATGACAAGAAATATTGTGGGAGTTTTTTTGTAGCATTTACCCTGGGTCACACTGTTTTGTTATCCTCGTCAACTCCGTGACAGAGCTCCTATTATGCCCATTTGGAGATGAAGACACTGAACACACATGTAAGAACTGAGGCCAGGGTTCAGGATTCTGCCCCAGCAGTCTGAATGCAGAGCCTACACAGGTAACCTTTATGAAATGGGCAGGCTTAGCCCTCCTGGGTGGCCTGATCACAATTTAGCTATTGCCACGGCATGAATTTGTTATGGTGAGGGGAGACATGTGTAGAGGGGACTGTGAAGGGTAAATATGAAAGTGTAAAAGTGGGTGCAACCACTAAGATACACAAAAATAGTGATGCAAAGACATCATGAAGTCAATGTAATTCAAGATCAATGAATTCTGCTAGTGTCTACATGGTCTATGTTACCCCAGAACCCACAAGGGTCACCACTACTGATAGGCAGGTTTGGGGATAAAGGGTGAGACTCCTGGAAGAAACACAATTCAGATCTCCTACTTAGAATGTACTTATATTTCTTGCACCCAGGATGCTGCAAATACTATTTCCTCTCATTACAAAGTCTTTGCATTTTCCTTTCCATTTATCTAACTACTATGTAATGCACCTCTCATGGGGCAGGTTAAATAACCTCTTGGGTGCTCTTTTATCCCTTTGATCTTCTACTTAATGATTCCTAAGTTGTGGTGGAGCATTCGCCACAAAATATATAGCGTTTATTGTTGTCTCTCTTGATTTCAAACTCTACTTCCAAATACTGTTCTCTGGTTACTTTTCATGTTTGCCAATTGTCTTCCCAGTTAAATACCAACTCTGAAAGCAGAGTAATCCTTTCTTTATCAAATTATATTCCTACTCTATGCCAGACTTTGCTAGAGAATATCAGAGCTGCCTTACAATAAGGGCTGAATGTATGCTAAGTGAGCCGACATAATACAATAGATGCGGTTTCTTTTTATTATTTCTTAAAACTGCATGAGAATATATGATGATCTCAAAATACATAAAATTTAAAGATTAGAAATAAAACTAAAAGGCTCAAGGTCCAGACACAATCATCTCCATTCATAAATTGCTATAAGGACTTGTTAAAATAACATGAATGCTTGATCAATTAGAAGAAGCTTTGTTAATGTGTTCTCACCCAGAAGTCTTAGGCTATTTATTTACCTATTTACTCATTTACTCATTCACTAAATCATTCATTTTTGTTCATCCTTACCTGAGGATATTTTTCCATTGATTTTTAGATAGAATGGAAGAGAGGGAGAGAATGAGAAAAGAGAGACACACATTGATGCTTCTTACATCGTCTGGCTGCCTCCTGCAGAGCTCTGTACCGGGATGAGTATCAAACCTGCAACCCACATAAGTGCCCTAGATTGGGAATCAAACCTGTGACCTTTTGGTCTGCAAGTTGACACTCTAACACACTAACTTCTGAGCCAAACCAGCCAGGGCTGGCTTAAGCTTTTCAATTCCTGGATAGCTGTTAGGTTGTTTCCTTTTTCTGGGATGTGAGCAAGATGGGACATGGAGGGTAGAGGATGTACCTTGAAGACAGGGTGCAGTCCTGGGAGGCACCTCATGGTGGCCACAGCGATGACCTCAGCCAGCAAATGAGTGTGCAGCAAGTGATATTGGAGCTCATGTAGGTGGAAATCTGAACTTTGGACCCAGCACTTTGCCAGGAGCCAGGCAAGTGGAGGGTCTGAGGGCAAGAACAGTGGTGGGGCTGGGGAGCTGGGGTCAGGAGGCTGGATCTGCAATAAAGAGGAATTAGCATTCAATGGCCTCATCAGATTTTGACACTATGGTCAGTGTTCTTGGAGAAACACTGGTGGCTCATTGTTGCCTCGAGGGTGTTATAATCTAGAAGGTGGAATGAGGATCCTTCCACTTGTCCTCTCTCTAGCTGTGGGAAGGGTGAGTGCCATGGCGGTCAGGTTCAAAGCAACAGGAATTGGAAGGAGGGAGTGCAGTATGAATGCGAGAAACCTGATGAGGGTGTTAGTTAGGATGATAGAACAGGAAGAAGCTGGACGTATGAGATAATTGACAGTTCTCATCAATCATCAATTTATTGATGAGAACAGTAAGAGTGAAAATGCATTAAAACCAAGGTAGAAAATGTGTTTAAGAAAGAAGGGCTATTCCACAAATTCTATGGTGATAAAGAGATTGCGTAGTCTTAGTGTGAGAACCAACAGAGACCATTGTGACTCTCAAAAGGGCAATTTCAGGTAAGTAAATGAGCAGGCTGTCAGGTAGAAAGGAGAGATTGGAGACAAGGACAGGTCTCACTGAGTGAGGCAGGAGTGGGAGACAAGAGCCAGCTGTCTTTGTCCCTTGGTAGAGGTTGGGGTGCGGAGAGAGCAGTGTTGGGAGGGGGATACCCAGGACACCTCACCTGGATGACCATGGGCAGCAGCTTCCCACTGGGTTCCATCTTCAGCATGACGAGGGGGGCAGCCAGGTACTGCTTCTCTCCTTGGATCTCGTTGGCTGTAATTCCATCCAGTAGGATGAAGTCAGCCTCAAAGAGGGTACCATTCTGATGAAAATAGGAACATATGCATGATTAGAGTTGAAAGCATGCCTGTACAGGACCAAGGCAAAGAGGAAGAAACGTGAAGACATTCAGTCTCTTCTCTTGCCGTTATCCTACATCAGACCCAGAGTCCCAGTGGCAGAGTGAAGGAAGCACCAAAGCATCAAGTTCAAGTCCTCTTATTTCACAAGGAGGGCTAAGACGCCATGAAAGGAATCTTCCCTAGCCTAACCTGAGGCAGAGGCATTTTTTAGGACTACGTATGCCAGTTGATTCTGTACCACAGGTATGCCAAACTCTCCCCTTGTCAGGTGTCCAAACTCTTTGCCCCAACATCTCCCAGTGGTGTAAGTTATTGGTTATATCCAACCTCAATACTTTTCTCTACATACTTTATCACCTCTAGGTTTTACCGGCAAGGACTCTGCACCCAGGGACAGTGAGTTACAACAGCCTCCCTTCCCTGACTCACCTTGGTCCCTACCCTATCTCTTCACATCCCCACACAGACTAAGAGAAGACTGCAGAGGGCTGGAGGATGTACCTGGAGTTCTTTTTCCAACTGGGCCCGAAGCTCCTCCATCCCTGAGGGCAGCACCAGCCGGGAGGGCAGAGAGGTGGAGCGTCTCAACAGCATGGGGTTGATGCCATTGAGGAACTGGTAGCCAAAAAGCTCATCATCCTGCCAGCCCTGGTGAACCTTCTCTGTGGTGTTAGAGTGGAGGGTAGGAGGAGGGTATTCACCACAACCCGATGTTCTTGTCCTCCAGACTCTACCCCAGGAATTAGTCACGTGACTCCCCCATACCCAGCCCACACATTTTCACTCATGAGGCCTCTGTGAGATCCCCAGGAAGAAGTTGGGGTTTTTTTGACAAGAAGTTTTAGGGACTATGGAGTGTGACAGATAGCTCATTAAAAGGGCCGTTAAAGTGTTATTGAGATCTGAGAAACCACTGACCAGCCAAGGTAGACGTTTGTCCCCAGAAGATTTTATCAAAATCTTCCAGGCAGTTCCAGGAGCTCATGAGGGAGGAAACATATTTGAAGGCAATCTCCATAATCCTAGAACAGAAAACAAGGGTGAAACCATCTATTTACCAAATCCTACCAGTTTCTGGATCCACCAGCCCCACTTAACTCTAACCATTTTCTCACCCTGCCATCGCTGTCCAATCAAAGTCTAGCTTCTTCTTCTCATGGAATCTTGCATTTGGAGGTAGATCATCCTTACTGCTAGCAGCCATTGTCAGGGGTAACCCTTCCTTCCAGGTGGCCCAGCTAGGACATGGGGACAAAGGTTATTGGAGCATGTGGAAGTCAGTGATGGAGGGAGTTGTCAGGGAAGGGGGTACAATTGGGAGGCTTCTAGGGTGGTCACCAGTAGATTTGCTGTCTTTCTTCCAGTTCCTTTTCTCGATGCTTCTGGAACACATCCAAGGTATTGTTTCCTGCCAGGCGGGCTGGGGAGACATTTAGGCAATTAACCTTCAACATCCAATCTCATGCTATGCCCTGGATTCTTCCAATCTCCTGTTTCTTAACTGTATGGCATCATACTCTTAATACTTTTTCTCTGGCTCTGTCTCTCTGGCTCAATTCCCTAGTTATACTTCTTCCCTCACGCCCTTTTCTTGATTTCACCAATGTTGGATTTCATATTTGTCCTGAGAGAAAAAGAAAACATTTTGATACATTATCCTAACCCTTAACTCAAATTTGCCTATCTATCCCTATTCTACATGAACTGTGAATTTTATTCTTCATCAGCTGAAATGTCTACCCCTATCCTACATTACCTCATATTAATTTGTTAATTTTCCCTGTCCTGGTTCTCTCCTGTCCACCCCTTAGTTAACCTGTTCTCCAAAATGATATTTCCAGTTGTGTACACTTACATCCTCTGATCTCCCATCTCCACCATCACCTGTCCCCTGGGAAAGATATGCTATGTGTGCCACCTCTAATAAATGGTTCCATGTTGCTACCTTTACCCGGCTTCATCTCAGCTATCCTCAACTTGGTAACCGGATTTAATCCTGAGCTCATATGTACTTATACTTGCTTGTGCCTCAAAGACATATATTTCAGGTTTCCATTCTTACCTGTCATTTCCCTCAATTGTCTCTGTACTTATTTCCTGAGGTAAAAGAGTCGATATTTGGTATCTTTATCCATCCCCACCCCAGTCAGTGTGCTCCCTGCCCTCACAGTTGCCTTCTGTGTTTACCAGTCAAACCAGCTCTCCAGTCATATCATGTATTGCTTCCCTTACCTGTTATCCCCCTATCCATGTGCTAGCTCACCTGTCCCAGCCCTAACCTGTTCCCAGTCACACAGAGCTCTCCTTGCCACTGTCCTTGGGCTCCTCTGTTCCCAGCATTGCTGCAACTCCATTCCCTGCGCTCACCTTCTCCGCAGGTGGGAGCTACATACACATCACTATTTTCCGGTCAGTCCCACTCCAGCCTTTCTAATTCTATATATAACTTTGGGACTTTATAACTTTCCCCCATTTTCTGTGTTGTCCACCCTTAACCTGCTGAGCAAGCTCTGTTTCAAGCCCCTCTGACCTTCCGCAGTGCTAGCCCTGCCCACTCAGTAGTCCCGAGGCCCTGCACCCACTTCCCTGAGGCGGCCCCTCACCGGTGCCCTCGGGCAGGCTCAGCACTCCCTCGCCCTGCACCCAGCGGTAGCACGGGAAGGCGGCCTCCGCGCTGTCGCCGGGACCCTGCACCGTGATGCGGTCGCAGAACCACGCGTCGTCCACCAGGGAGTGGTGTTTGCGCAGCTTCACGAACTGCAGTGGCCCCAAGTCCTCGGGGACGTCTTGCTCAAACTCCTCCACCTGTGGGCACCAGAACCTGCTGAGACTTAGTAGCGCGAACCTGGGAGAGGACTTTTTACTGGGGGTGCAGGGGTCCTTTGTGGAGTCTGGTGACAAGGCCTCCAAGACAGCATTCCCTCCTCCCAGTGCCTGTGCGGTGGGACTGAGATGCCTCATCGCACCAGGAGGAGGAAGGACGCGGGGTGAAGACAGAGGTGTCTTGAACTGCGGGGACTGAGCATCATCACTTACACCTCCCCTGCTAACTGAGTTCTCACCGCGCCAGCGCTCTCGGCTCTTGGAGGACTGTCTCACAGTTCCCGTACTGCACTGGGCTGCGCTCACTTGGGAAAGGAGTGGAGGCTGTGTGAACCGTGGCCAGGGGAGAGGGAAAGGGGTGGAGCCCAGCCCAGGCAGTGGCTCTGACCCCCTCACCACTCAAGCACAGTCGTCCCTTCTCCCAGGTAGTCCCAGCAGGCGTGCTGGCACTGTCATTGGCTCCCAGCCTCCCGCGTCCCGCCCGCCCTCAAGCCTGGAGCCCAGCCCCGGCCGCGCTCTGAACCCCGCTTCCCCGCCGACCTGGCCCCGCATCGGCCGCAGCTGCAGCTGCAGCGCCGCCTCCCCGCGCTCCCCGACCAACCACAGCTGCACGCGGTTGAACGACCCAGAGAAGGCCCAGGCGCCGGTGGCCACGCGGATGCGGTAGCGGACCATGGCAGCGGGTGGGCTCGACTGGGGGTCAGAGGCTCCGTTACTGATACCAGAGAAAGATTCCGTGCCAGGCTTCGTCCTGGTGCCTGCAGGACACGTCCAGGGCTTTATAAAGCAGAACTGTGTGCCACCCACTGCAGGATTCGTCCCCACCCCAGACACACCAGAAGCTGGGATTAGCCCGGGGTGGGGAAAGGGGGCTGCTCCTCTCAGCACAGAGCTGAGAAGTGGGCTGGGAGGTTGACGAGGGCCTGAGCCTGGGTGCAGGAAGAGATGGAGAGGGGCAGGGCGAATCCAGCCCACTTTGCTCTCTAGACTGTCATTCTCCTCATTTACTCCCCACACCCCGCCACACCAGTTTTACTACTGAATAGCATTTTCTGAAGGCGTCCTGAGTGCCAGTCCCTTTTCCTGCTGGCAGCGTCTGGTGCCCCTGGGAGACTGTACCCACTTCCTGTTCACCTGCCAGGTCAACTTGCTGAAGGGGCATTGGGATTGTCATTGCAGTCCAGAGAGGTTCTTCTTGAGGGACACTCCAGAGTTCAAGGATAAGTTCGAATATTTCCTATATTATGACTTTCTATGTCCATGCATCAAAAACATAGCTAATATATTCTTTTTCTCCCCTTTGTTTTCTTCACCTCCTATCCCAAGTCAGACGATGATCATAAATGTCTACTGTTTCTGCTTGTCCACTTCTGTTAATAGGATTGTTTCATATGGTTTGGGTCAGTTCTTCCACAAAAATGAGGTCACACTATACATTTATTTTCTTGAAAGTTACTTTCCACAGTTAAAAATAGATGATGAGCCCTGGCCGGTTTGGCTCAGCGGTTACAGCGTCGGCCTGGGGTCCAGAGAGACCCGGGTTCAGTTCCCGCTAAGGGCACTTACCTTGATTGCAGTTTGTCCCCAGCCCTGGTTGGGTTGTGTGGGTGGCAACCACTCGATGTGTCCCTTTCACGTCGATGTTTCTCTCTCTCTTCCTTCCTCCAACTCTATCTGAACAAAAAATGGAAAAATGTCCTCGGATGAGGATAAAAAAATAAAAGAATACATGATGAGCCCTGGCCACTTTAGCTCAGCAGTTAGAGCATTGGCCTGAGGTCCAGAGAGACCCGGGTTCGGTTCCCGCTGAGGGCGCGTACCTTGGTTGCAGTTTGTCCCCACCCTGGTTGGTTGTGCGGGTGGCAGCCACTCGAAGTGTCCCTTTCACTTCGATGTTTCTCTCTTTCTCTCTCTCCCTCACACTCTATCTGAACAAAAAAGGGGAAAATGTCCTGGGGTGAGGATTAAAAGAAAAAAAAAAAGAATACATAATAATAATATCTTCAATAGATGGAGATCTACGAGCTCTCTTCGCTATCTTGAAGAATTACCCTCTTGATGGATGTTCAGCATTAACTAAGATGAGCGCTTTAATGAACACTTTTGTAGGTATTACCTTATATACACTTATTTTTAGAGGATAGATCCCCAGAAATGAGATTTCACTCTAAAATGCATGTATATTTTTATATTAAATATTATATATTTTTTGAAAACCAGTTTTTTGAGGTATGCTTGACATGTTACATCTGTACATATTTGATGTATAAAACTCAATGACTTTGCCAGTAAGTATATACCAATGTATATTATTTTCAAATGGCTTCCCCAAAAGGCTGAAGCATGGTATCAGAGTACTCTTTTCTCTGCATCTCCATCAGCATAGAAACGTATCACTTTTTAATTTTTGCCAATAGGATGAGTGTAATTTTCATAAACAGTGAAGGGTCTGGGATTTTACTGAACTTAAAATCTAGTCAGGTTTGACTAGTTGCTGTTTGATGGATGGTGGCAACAGACACACAACTTCTACTTCAGTAACAAAGGGGACATAATTACTCAGAGCAAAAATAGTAGCTACAGTTCCTATTCACAACAGTTGCTCCTGTCTTCCCAAGTCCCACAGTGTGATGCAGGTGGGTCTAGATAAATGACAGCACACACAGTGGACTGCATTATAGGAGGGGACCACTGACTGTGGGGGACTCACCACTTTTGTGCAGAGCAGATTCATGTCCATTCTTTGTCTACAGGAACATGACCTCATTGCTCATGGTTGCTGACTGCAAAAACAACCTTGATAAATAGTCCAAGTAACGAGCAGTCAGGGCTTTGCATTTCTCGCATGACCTGCAGAAAGACCTGGGGGCACTCAGGGCCCATGGCAGATCACCAATCCCTATAGATGAGGCATGTTAGCTGCTTAACCATTTCTAAGAGCTCCCTAGTGAATATCAAATAAAACCTAAGTTCTCACCAAGGCGTGGTAGTCAAAGATAAACCTGCTCTCAAAGTAATGATAAGGAAATACTTAGAAAAGAGAAGTGCATAAATGTGACCCGGCAGAAAGTTCTGTACACATTAAGAAGGTGAACTGGCCCTGGCCGGTTTGCCTCAGTGGTTAGAGCGTCGGCCTGCGGTCCTGAGAGACCCGGGTTCGGTTCCCGCTAGGGGCATGTACCTCGGTTGCAGTTTGTCCACAGCCCTGGTTGGTTGTGCGGGTGGCAGCCACTCGATGTGTTCCTTTCACATCGATGTTTCTCTCTCTCTGTTCCTCTCTCTCCCTCCCACTCTACCTGAACAAAAAATGGAAAAATGTCTTCGGGTGAGGATAAAAAATAAATAAAAAAAGAAGGTGAACTGACAAACCAGTTTGTTTCAGTGGATTGAGCGTCACTCAATGAACTGAGAGGTCCTGGTTCAATTCCCATTCAGGGCACATGCCTGGGTTGCAGGCTCAATTCCCAGTAGGGGGTGTGCGGGAGTCAGCCGATCAGTGTTTCTCTCTTACATCAATATTTCTATCTTTCGCCCTGGCCGGTTTGGCTCAGCGGTTAGAGCGTCGGCCTGCGGTCCTGAGAGACCCGGGTTCGGTTCCCGCTAAGGGCACATGCCTTGGTTGCAGTTTGTCCCCGGCCCTGGTTGGGTCGTGTGGGTGGTAGCCACTCGATGTGTCCCTTTCACGTTGATGTTTCTCTCTCTCTCTCTCTCTCTCTCTCTTCCTCTCTCCACTTCCCACTGTATCTGAGCAAAAAATGAAAAAATGTCCTCGGGTAAGGATAAAAAATATACATATTTCTATCTCTCGCCCTTTCTTCCTCTAAATAATCAATAAAAACATAGTAAAAAAAGAAGAAAAGATGGTGAACCCCTGAATTTTGACAGCGCGTGGCCTGCACCTTTCGATGAATCTAATAGTATAGCCACAAGCCTATTATTCCAGGCTCTCTGTCTGGTGGGTCTTCACTCTGCAGGAGCACAGTGACCTGTACTGAACATCTAGCTCACCTCCACCAGAAAAACGTCTCCACGTGGAACTGCAGGTACTTCACTCCGCCAGACATGTGCCTGATCTTTGGTATGTCCCTCATACCTTATACTTGCTGGTACAGCAAAAGACCGAACTGAATCCAATTCCAATTCACATTCTTGCCAACTTCTAATCCAGACATCTTTATGCACTATTTCACTTAGGTATATTCCAGTTAATAAATGAAGTAGGAGTGATGGAAGTAAAATAGTAAGTTTGTAATCCCTAATAAAATAATACATCTGGGAAATGGTTATCTATGGTGGCTAAATTCACAAAAAAAGACATAGCCGTTGATTATGTGCCTCTGGGAGAAATATTTTGCACCAACTATGAAGACATCTTGAAACATAAAACTGTTAGCGATCCTCATCGAAACTATAGATGTAACTACCGATGTGTAGAATTACAGAGGATAAAGGAACATGTTAAACCACCAGGAAATGACCAGCAACGTATATTTGGGGAGAAGAACAACCTTGTATCACAGTCCCAGAGCTGAGCCAGAATGGCAGGACCAGGCTTTCTCAGATGTCTCTCCATCTTGGACAGGCAAGGTTCAATTACACAGGAGAATGGAGCCCACCTAGGCTACAGAGGGGGCAGACTCTCCGATTCAGGGAAGTGGTCTCTGCTTATAGTTTCAAATTCCATTTATAATTACTTTCATCAGCTCTTTTTAATTGGATTTATTGGGGTTACATTGGTCAATAAAATATATAGGTTTCAAGTGTACAATTCTGCAATACATCATCTGACATGGCATGGTGCACTCACCATCCAAAGTCTAGTCCCCTTCTGTCACCATTTATCTCCTTTCACCCTCTTCCACCTGCTCCCATCCCACTTGATAACTGGTAATCACTATACTGGTATCTGTGTCCATGAATTTCTTTTATCTTACTCCCTTCACCAAGTCATCAGCTCTTGTTCTTTCCCTCATTGTTTTTTCAACCGAACTCACTACTTGCCTGCTGGTGCTGGTCTCTGCCCTGTCCTGATGACCCAAACTTTAAGTCTTTTCCAGAATGTTATTGCTCATGCAGTCACACAAACAAGTCCTCTGAAAGTTACATGATGGAGTGAAGGATTATTTCATCCCCTAATACAGCCCGCGCGATGACAACTGCTGAAAGGCATTTGTATTGTTAAATGTTTTGTGGCGATTCCTGACAACAGGATCTCCCTCTGCTGTCTTCATTCCCAGTGCTCCCTGTAAGGACAGAAAACAGATTTTTCTTTTTTTATTATTTTTTTCCACAATTTATGAGAAGCACCTGGTAATTAAACGCGGAGATGGCTGCATCTGCAACTTCAAACTGCCTTTCTACCCAACTGAAAGGGGCAGGAAAGAGTTTTAGAATTAATAGAAAATATTAGACAAGTAAGAAAACTAATCATAGTGGGGCACTAGACAAAGTTAGAAAAAGTGTTAAGCATCCTTTACAACGTTGGTCGTGATTGCTTTGTTTTGGTTAAGGAAAAGCCCACTCTGACCTGGCTGGGACATGTGCACCTTAGGAGTTTACATCAGGGATGCTGTCCTTTCTCCTAATCTGAGGACACGGGGGCTACCTGATGTCATGGAAAGATGAACAACATGATTATCAGAACACTGGACCCGTGACTGTGACTCACTGTGAGC